GTTTGGGGGGGGGGGGTTGCTCTGTGACTTTGTGGCGGGGGAGGGCAGTTACAGATCTTATGCAGCGGTCCTTATCCTGGCTCACAGATCCACGCAGCAGGGGATCTGTAACCCTACCCCCCCTGCCAGAAAGTCACATAGCCGACACATACACACAGTCCCCCCCAGGAGTGCTGGCAGGCTCCATTGAAATAACCAGTCCACCAGTGCGGAGCCTGTCATTCCGGGAGTTTAGAAGTATCATTTGCATCAGAACACTAAACCCGCCCCCCGCCACAGTCTGCGTCCCCGGTTTAAAATATTCCCGCGAAAACAGCAATACAGACAACGGTGTTCATTAAAAAATCGAAATGATTTTATTTTTTGGGAAGGGGAAGGGGGTGAAGGTTGTATGTAACTGGAGAGGATAGTCAAAATGGACTGGGTAAAGAAACGGGGGCAGGTTCAGCTTTTCTGTCCACAAACTGAAAAGTCACTGGTTGCCCTGCTCACTCAGGAACCTAGCTTTCAAAGCCTCCCGGATGCACAGGGCGTCCCGCTGGGATCTTCTAATGGCCCGGCTGTCTGGCTGGACGTAATCAGCAGCCAGGCTATTTGCCTCTAGCTCCCACCCCGCCATAAAGGTCTCCCCCTTGCTCTCACACAGATTGTGGAGCACACAGCAAGCTGCAATAACGATGGGGATATTGGTTTCACTGAGATCACAGCGAGTGAGTAAGCTTCTCCATCTCCCTTTGAGACGGCCAAAAGCACACTCCACCACCATTCTGCACTTGCTCAGACGGTAGTTGAACAGTTCTTTTTCTGTGTCCAGGGCGCCAGTATAGGGCTTCATGAGCCAGGGCATTAGCGGGTAGGCTGGGTCCCCGAGGATGACTGTAGGCATCTCCACATCCCCAAGAGTTATTTTGTGGTCTGGGAAGTAAATACCTTCCTGCAGCCGTCTAAACAGACCAGAGTTCCTGAACACGCGAGCGTCATGAACCTTGCCCGGCCATCCGACGTAGATGTTTGTAAACCGTCCCCGATGGTCCACCAGTGCTTGCAGCACCATTGAAAAGTAGCCCTTTCTATTGATGTACTGGCTGGCCTGGTGGTCCGGTCCCAGGATAGGGATGTGAGTCCCATCTATAGCCCCACCGCAGTTTGGGAATCCCATCGCGGCAAAGCCATCTATGATGACCTGCGCGTTTCCCAGGGTCACTACCTTTGGGAGCAGTACCTTGACGATTGCCTTGGCTACTTGCATGACAACAACCCCCACGGTAGATTTGCCCACACCAAAGTGGTTCGCGACTGACCGGTAGCTGTCCGGCGTTGCAAGCTTCCAGAGGGCTATGGCCACTCGCTTCTGGACAGTGAGGGCTGCTCGCATGCGGGTGTCCTTGCGCTTCAGGGCAGGGGACAGCAACTCACAAAGTTCGAGGAAAGTCCCCTTCCGCATGCGAAAGTTTCGCAGCCACTGGGATTCATCCCAGACCTGAAGCACTATACGGTCCCACCAGTCCGTGCTTGTTTCCCGGGCCCAGAATCGCCGTTCAACAAAATCCACATGCCCCATTGCCAACGTCATGTCCTGGGCGCTGGGGCTCGTGGTTTCTGACAGCTCTGTGCCACTCTCCGACTTCAGGCTCTCACGGCGGTGCCGTAGCCTCCTCGCCCGATTTCTCTGCATCTGCCTCAGGGAAAGGTGTATGATAAGCTGCGAGGTGTTGAGAACGGCCACAAGTGCAGCGATGGTCGCAGCGTGATCCATGATCGCAGTGCTGTGGCGTCCGCGCTGTCACTGACCAGAAAAGTGCGCGAACTGATTTCCCGCCGGCGCTTTCATGGAGGGAGGGAGGGCGTTAGTGACGGACGGATGACGACAAATTTTTTTTACCCAGAAGGCATTGGCGGCTCGACCCAGAATTCCGATGGGCAGCGGGGACTGCGGGAACTGTGGGATAGCTGCCCACAGTGCACCGCTTCCAATATCGACGCTCGCCCCGTTAGTGTGGACTCACAAAGTCGAATTACTGTCCTTAGTGTGTCCTTAGTGTGGACACACACGTTCGACTTTGCAATATCGATTCCACATATTCGATTTAAGTAAAATCGAATTACCCTCGTAGTGTAGACATACCCTTATACTGGTTTAGCATAAGGCCACTATGAACAGCTCTCTGCTAAATGGAAAATAAGCCACTCAAACCGTAAAAATGAATTTGCAGGGTTTAACTAAACCTATTTAAAAACGGATTCAGGTTAAACTGGTGCAGCTTGTGTGTAGACAAGGCCTTCATTAAATTGGTGCAAGTCTGTGCGCTGAGAAGGCCTGATTGTCCCTTGTGCAGCCATTCTGATTTGGTAACATTTTATGCCCACTTTACATTCATTTTGCACAGGTGCGAATGGCAACACATAGTGCAGGGCAATGGAAAATTAGACCCTAAATTTGTATTAGAAACTAGCTAAGCAAGAAATCAAAGGCTTCCTGGATCCAACACTCTGATCTGGCCCCCAAGAGCCACCACCAACAGTACAAGCATCATCCCAACAACTGCTTTACAGTGAATAATTCCTCCAGGAGACACCTCGTGTAGGGTCCTAACTCCCTCCCTGTAATCCAGAGAAGTCAATTATAGACTAATTACCTCCCTGGTTTAATAGTATCCAAGGAGCAGGGCATAGCGGTCACCCCAGTGCTGAGGACACATCCAGACAAATGACAGAGAGGGAATGGTCGGCAGTGAGGGTGTAACCCCTGGTCACACGCTAAGGAAGCAACACATTAATTTTGCGGGAAGCACTGAAGTGTTTTATTCATTCTTCTTCAGTGCAGAATGGAGGATATCTTGTATCTGGGCCAGAAATGAGGCAGCCAGGAGCAGACACAAATCAATCTGGCATTTCAAGCATGATGAGGTTAAACAGAATGGGCCAGGCGGGCTCGCTGTGGCTGGATTCTCTTACCTCGGTGATGCGGGGATTGGAGCACTTGACGTTCCTGCTGGACCAGTCGAGCCAAGGGTGAATGGGGGAACTGCAGTGCTGCCGGAGCGTGCACTTGGCCTCTCCGCTGCACCAGCCGCATTCGAACTTCTGATCTGCTTTCAGGCACAGGCCGCAGCTCTCCCGCTGGGCAGCGCATTTGTAGAGGTGAACTGTGGAGAAGGGAGAGGCGTGGACTGAGCACTGACCTGGGGACTAAATCTTCAGGACCAAAAGAGCTACATCTGCTTACAGTATTAGTAGAGATGAAGACAGCCCACAATTCCCCTTGACTGATGAAGAGAAGAGACCACCTCATCAGGCACCAGTGGAGATGCTTGAAAAAGATGTGTGTGCGGGGGGAAGAAGGGGAATAGGGCCTGTGGGGGTAATGAACTGAAAGGTTACCGATAGATCTGCCTTGTACCTAAATGACTGTAAATATTCTGCACAGCTCGTGGGGTACCGTCTCTCACATTTGTTTTTCAACAAGCTGATCGCTCCCTGCCTCTCGCTCTCTAACTCAGCCGTTTCTGATTGCCCTGACCACCGCGGATGCCCAGGTGACTAGTGCCAGCTGGGACAGAAGCAGCACTGTTGCAAAGCTGGGCAGCGTAGTTGGAGAACCACAGGGAACGTTAGTCAGGCTCATCAGAGCCACGCACGGTTTTGTTGGCAATGGAGCTTTTAAGTCTTCTCATTCCCACTTATCCTTTTTCCAGATGTTCTCAGACATTATTGCTCCCATGCTTGCTTTGGAAGGCAGCGTTGAAAACCTCTTTGTTTAGTTTACTCCATTGACCTAAACCAAGAAAGAGCTCATTGAAACAATGTCTCCATTTCCAGGGAGCTTGGCAGGGTCTCCCAACAGGGCTCCAACGTATCAGGTTCCTCAGAAAATTTCAAAGCATTCAAAAGCAAAATGTAACTCCTACGTGGATAAACAGGAACCTGTTAAATTGATGTCCCTGCTTCAGCAAAATGGGACTATTAACAGGTATTCTTTTCAGGGGGCTCATCTGCTGCTTTCAGTCTATTTTGCTCTGCAATACACTAGATTTTGTCACGCAGCCATGTATTCTGGTACCAGCTCTATTTTCCTACTGCATTCCTCCTAGAGCTGGAAGTATAACAGGTTTCTTTCTTTATCGGGGCTTGGCTGCTCTGGCTCGCTTCAGAGCAGGGCAAATGTAGATTTTCTACAGGTCAGATCTTTTAACAGGTCTTTTCTAAAATGAGCATTGTGGCATCCAGAAGCAAAGTCCACATAATGAACTGCAGTATCCATATGGACTACTGCTATTACTGAAGATATAATAAGAGGCACATACAAAGCGCACACTGAATTTTCACATGATCAGAGGTTTTAGATCTAATATCCTGGTTAAATCTACTTCCCTAAAATTATCACAGGCAATTGCGTTTGAGTGGTGGGCAAGTGGTATTCCCATGTACAACTTGTAAAACACTTGGGGATCCTACAGGGTGAAGGATGCTATATAAAATACAGAGCTGTAGGGAGGCCCATAGATATTTTCAGAGGTGATCCCGCTAGGTTAGGATTGATGTGCCTTGGTAAGTTAGTGTATGAAGAGAAGCTTGGACTGCTGCTGCCCATGTTGTGTGGAGAGACAGAGGGTTTTGCAGTCTGTCCAAAGGTGAAGTTTTTGCTGTTGCAGATTTCTAGTCACTTGTTATTTATGCTTATTGCAAATTATTCTCTCTCCTTGCACTCCCAGGCCTGTTAAGTTCATGCTCCATTCCCCTTGTCAAACTATGCAGCACTATTGTACAAGTGTGTCCCATTGGGATTCCCAGATTTCAGTGCCCAACATGAAAACCTCGCCTCAACCTTGTGGATGGCTCAAAGTAACGTGATATGAGAAGCACAGGTCACATCGTACTGACCTGTGACAGAGGGGTGTGAGGCAGCCACAGGGGTTATAGTGGACCACAAGCTAAATATGAGTCAACAGTGTGATGCTGTTGCAAAAAAAGCAAACATGATTCCGGGTTGTATTAACAGGTGTGTTGTGAGCAAGACACGAGAAGTCATTCTTCTGCTCTACTCTGCTCTGGTTAGGCCTCAGCTGGAGTATTGTGTCCAGTTCTGGGCACTGCATTTCAAGAAAGATGTGGAGAAATTGGAAAGGGTCCAGAGAAGAGCAACAAGAATGATTAAAGGTCTTGAGAACATGACCTATGAAGGAAGGCTGAAAGAATTGGGTTTGTTTAGTTTGGAAAAGAGAAGACTGAGAGGGGACATGATAGCAGTTTTTAGGTATCTAAGGGGGTGTCATAAGGAGGAGGGAGAAAACTTGTTCACCTTAGCCTCTAAGGATAGAACAAGAAGCAATGGGCTTAAACTGCAGCAAGGGAGGTCTAGGTTGGACATTAGGAAAAAGTTTCTAACTGTCAGGGTGGTTAAACACTAGAATAAATTGCCTAGGGAGGTTGTGGAATCTCCATCTCTGGAGATATTTAAGAGTAGGTTAGATAAATGTCTATCAGGGATGGTCTAGACAGTATTTGGTCCTGCCATGCGGGCAGGGGACTGAATTCGATGACCTCTCGAGGTCCCTTCCAGTTCTAGAATCTATGAATCTATGGATCTATGTGACAGAGATGTCTTTGAGCTGGCTGCCGGTCAATGTGTTTAGTAAAGATTTCCTTTTTGCAGTGTACAGGCTGCTTTCACTAAGGGCCAATTCTGTAATGCTGAGGGTCTGGGCTATGGCTAACTGTGGGCTAGAAATCTGGGCAGAGTCCACACTGGGATCATAATGATGCTGGGTACAATGGTGGTGTAACTTGGCTGTGACTAGCAGGGTTCTAACCCAGTCTTCCTGTGAATAGAATTTTCTTTTTCTAGAAATGGGCTTGACCACACACTCCCCCACAAGCCCTTATCAGGTCCCCTCCACCACATGACTCAAGGATAAGACACTGCAGCAGTAAACAGAGCACCCCTTACCTTTCAAATCCTCTGGGTTGTCAATAATGAAGTTTCCATTCCAGACCACAGCAAAATCCACTGCTAAGTTGCTTATGTCCATCCCGTCATAGAGATACTAAGGAACAAGATAAGAAAAATGTTTAGGGGATGTGCTTGGGAGGATGTGTCAGGAAGAGACACCAGGAAGGAAATTACATATATATATATATATATTTATAACTAACAACTTTTTGCTTAAAAAACACATGATGATGTCTAAGTGACCAACAATTCTAACTCTCATTTCTAGGATCCTGCTTTGGGTCCACATGGTGAGACTCATTTCTCCTTGCCAGAGAAAGATAATTAAAATCAGCTGATGGACCCTGCAAGAGGTAATAGATTAATTATCCCAGACACACTGACTGTTCTCATAAATACAGCCCCACTATTTAATGAGACTAGACTGAGGCTCTACACAGTGGCACTTCTGCCCAGGAGACAGATTGGGCCAACTTTCCGTCTAACACCACACTCCCTCAATGTAATCAGGAATGTACAAATGTGCTGCAAAGATCTGACAACTTACTAAGGAAATATTTCAGTCAGTGCGCCCTATTCAGGGTAGAGAGGAGGGATTTTCTAAGTCACCAGTTCAAATCCAGATCAGGGTAGCACTGCCTGGAATGTATATGGATGCCCAGGAGCCATACAGATGAGTTTGGAGGTCTCAGACCATTCTCCTAGTAGACACTTCACAAGTGCCATAGTCATAATTAGCACATATTGGGCCCTATGCTGGCAGTCTTTGCAGATCAACCAATGACTCCAATTTTCCTACAAGGAAAATGTCAATGGGACTGTAAAAAGCAAGCATATTAAAGAAACCCCACCAAAACGCTTGACTGTTTAGTGTTCCCTTCCTCACAGATTATTTATCCACATCTGTTCCACATCAGCCTTCATGCTGTCGAGCAGAATGTGACCTGAATGGAATAAGTACAGGAGTAGGTCTCATGAGGTCCAGCGTTCTAATCCCAACTCTGACACTAGCTCCCTCTGTGGTCTTGGGAAGTCACTTAGGGCTTGTCTACACACAGAAGTTGCACTGGTTTAATGTAGATCTACTTATACTGGTTTAGCGTGTCCATATACATTTACCAGCGTGAACTAAACATTACAAGCCTGGATTAAACAGATATCAACGTGGCCTCACCCACATAGAGTTGCTCTGGTTTAACTAAGTCAGTGTAAAACCACACCTTTAGTTGTATTGGTACAACTTTGTGTGCAGACTGGCCCTTAAACTGTCTGCCTCCAGTTTCCCATTTGTATAAAAGGATAATAGGATTTCTCTAAAGCAGGGCTGCTCTGAGTATTTGTTAGGTAATGTTTATAAATCACTTTGGATAGGAAAAGGGCTATTTAGTATTATTACATTTATTATCTACCCTGCTATGGGGCCTACAGAGAGCTAGTGAGGCACAAATATGCAGGGAAATGTAAGACAATTCAGAACCTGATTAATAAGCTAGGAGTATCTGCATGGATTGTTAAAGTAGATCCTGAAGTTCCTGGTTCCACCATCTAGAACCAAGCAACTCTAGCTATCTGTCCATGCAGCTCTCTAAAACCCTCACTGATACATGACTAGAGATCAGAGACCCAAACTTCTTCACCCAGCCCTTTTTCCATTTGTAGACTAGTGTCTTCTGCAAACAAACACAGAGGCACTTCCTCTGCAGTTTGGAGAATGGCCTTTGTGAAGAGCTGAGATCTGCATTGTGCTGTGAATGCAGCAGAACCTGGGTTTTGTTCCCTACCACGTGCAAGAATGACTGCAAAAAGCGAGAGCCTTCCCGCTAAGAAGTACGATGATATTCTCTGTTAATGGTTCCAATGGTGTTCCTACAGCTTGAGAAGTTGCTGTAGAATCTCTTGGGCTTTACTTTCATGGGCTATGCCACGCTGCCACAATGCAGACCAAGCTGCAGTCGTTCCCTGTATGCATGTCTTTAGTGGTTTCATTCAGAGAATTTGTATCACTCTGCAGTGCCACGTCTGCTCCCCCAGCTGAGTCCCATTCCCCTCTTTCCTAGCATTGCACATTCCATTAAGCTGCGGTGACCTGGAATTTGACAGCTCTCTGATAAGAGGCCAATAATTCTCTCTCTCTCTCTCCTGTGTGAATTAGCTTGCCTTAACACCTTTGTTGTATTCTTCCCCCCACCTGTCCCTGTCTCGCCTTCACTGACCCCCCCACAGTCACTGGCAGATAAAGGACCTTCGCCCAGCCAGTATTATAATTAAACACCTCACATGCCTACAGCAGATTCCCATCTGAAATTCAGGATTAGTTTAACCCCTAGATTTTTTTATTCCTTCTGCCTCCCCTCCCCCATTTTCCTTTCATCTTTTTTCTCTTCTAGTTAAATTTGCCTTATTCACAGTGTCTCCTCGTTGATGTCAACATTAGGGTGACTGCTGTGTTAGAGGTAGGATGGCTGGTTTAAATAAAATAAAGAGGCATCTCTAATATCGGTAAGTGGAAGCATTGCCTACTGGTTAGAACACAGTGATGGGTGCCAGGAACAACAACTGATTCTAGGCCCAGGTCTAACACTGACTTCCTCTGTGGCCAGGGGCAAGTTATGTAACCTCACTTAGTTCCCTCATCTGGAAGTAAAGATAACAATACTTACCTACCTCACAGCATGTGGAAGCGTTAGTCAATGGTGCAAATTCAGCCCAGGAGCAGGCTCTGCAGCTCCCTGATAACCTCATCCATTCAACTCTAAAGCTTCTGCAATCCAGGACTCACTTGCAGCATGGCCATTGACTGTTGGGCCCCCTTTATCCTACCCCTCTCCCATCACTGCAGCCGCTCCCCTCTCTCACTCCAACAATCCCTTCCCTTCTCCCGCGTCAATCCCCAGAGCACCGGCTCCTTACCGAACTGTTCTGGCACTGGACGCTGGAGCTGTTGAAGCGCAGAGCTGGCACACGATGAATAACTCCTTGAATGTTGAGGACACATTCATACCCACGCTGGCCAGACTGGGGCTGGGGCAGGTTTCTGGCTTTCAGTGTGATGGGCTTCACCTCCCCTACTGGGATCAGAATCTCTTCTGTGGGAAACAGCTGTGGGCAGTCCTGGGAGGAGCAAACATGGAGACAAAGGTGCTCCAGTTATTAGGGGGCCACTTACCTTTATATAACATCAGGTCTGAACACTCCTGAACTCTGGGCATTTGGGACATTAACCTGGATCTAAATTGGATGGCTGTTTACCAGGCAGGGCAGCCAAACATCCCGCACTTGGAGTCCAGCATGCACCCCGGGATACTTGATCACAGACAATTCTCTTTGCACTCCTCAATCTGCCCCCAAGACAGAAGATTAAGTGCAGGGAAAAATAACCTTCAGCAATATTTTCTGCGCAGGATATTTTCATTGCAGCCACACAAGAGGGGATGTTATTATTCAGGAAATATATTGAAGCATCATTGTTCTTCCTGGCTTGCTGTGGGCTATGCATTTTATCTCCGGAGACACAAACCCTGAGAGTACCCCCGACTCCTCTCTTCCCCCAGAAGCTAGAGGCAATGCATTATCAATTGCTTCTGCTTCCCAACTCCAGCAAAACCCAATTTTACTGGGAGGTGGATTGGATCCTCCTAACTACACACTGAACACTCATTCTAGGTTTCATTTTTAATCAGGTTTCATTCCTGGGGTGCACATCAGTGTCTGTTGCTTCAAAAACAGACTCATCGGCATGGGATATGCTTCCCTTTTGCGACCTGGTGCCACTTCTTTCTGTGTTTTAATTTAGCAAAATTATTTCTATATCCTATCAATTTCACAATCTGTAACCCCAACTCCATAAACCTATTCCCCTCTTCTCTCTTACCCTACCCCATCATCCAACACCTCTGGCTAGTCTCCAACTGCCCAGCTGGACCTGTATGCAGCAACAGAGATGAGAGGGAAATGGTTTTCCTGACCCATGAACATTTTTGAGATTTCAAATATTTTCCCATTCTGCATCCGGACAAAACTGAGACCTTTCAAAAGTTTTCACAAAAAACAGAGAGAGAGGGAGAGACTGACCCCTCCCAATATAGCCTATAGCCTGGAGGTTAAGGCACTGAGATGGGATGTGGGAGAGCCAGGTCCAAGCCCTAACCACTGGACTACAGGTTATTCTGGGGTGGGCTCTTAATTCTCTCGTTTTGACTAGAAAGCCCAATCTGGGCTCAAGAAACCTTTCTAACCAGAGTTTCATCGACACCAATCCTTACCAGCAAAAAGTTTTGGTTTCGATTAATTGACATTTTCCAATGAAAACCCCACGTATTGAGAAATTTCCAACTAGCTCTCTGCAGAAAGCCGAAGGGGTCACCAGTACAGATCCTCTCTTAGCTCAGTGACGCACGAGTGGGACTTCTGCCACCTGCAGCTGGGCCCGGAAGGAAGCTGAAGGGCTGAGGTGCTATTCCTGTATGTGAAGCCGCACCTTCCGCTCCCATCCACGCTGATGGGAAGACAGAGGTGTCCAAATGCTCAGAGATTTGGTTAAAATAAGCACCCTGAAGTTTAGGGCTGGGATTTTCAAGTAGACCCAAGGGAATTAGCACCCAAATCCCAATGAATTCAAATGGAAGATAGACACCTAACGCCCTTAGGCTCTTTAGAAAATCCCAGACTAGATGCTTCTATGAACTCATCTTGAGTCTGCAAAACTGGGTCCCAGCTCTGCAGACTGGTAGAGATTGGGTAACAGTCCTGAAAGCCCGTCAGCAAATGCTAGCTGTAAAACAGATACCTGATTCACAAAGGGTCCAATTCTGCCATGCTTCCTCGCATGACATTCCCGCTGAGCTCAGTGGGCATTCTGCGTGCTGAGAGCTAATGTGTGCAGGATGGGGCCCTCACTGAGGGGGAAATGAGGAAACAAAATCAGGCTGCTCTATGCACAGCAATCCTAGTTTACACTGGTACGTGAGGGGGATGAGTGGAAAGGTTGCACGCTTAGCGTGGATGCTCCAAAGCTCTCGGCATACTGTGCAGGCAGTAAAACTGCCCACACGTATTTGCAGCTACATCCACAGATCTGTTGCAGTCGTTCACTGGAGATATCTCAACGTGCCAGATATAAAGCAAAGCTAGCTAAGGAGATGCCAGCTCTCTAAAAAGATGAACTTTGATGTCGCTGGAAGCCAGGATGCCAACTCCCCTTCTTCCTCGCAAGATCCCTTAGGCCTCAGGAACTTAAGCCCCTAACTCTTCTGGAAATGGCCCCTTTAGACTTCCTAGAGCTTCCTCAGATTAAGCCTGGAAACAGCAAACCCGGCCTGTCATCCTACAAAATCCTTCTGTTTCATAAAGGGAACCTATGATCCTGACAGGCAGGAGGGAAGGTGTTTCTCTGTGGTGGCTAAGTGATTCAAGCCAATGGACAGCGCAAGCATTTCTCGATCCGGATTCAAGATTCTATTCACCTTCGGGACGGAATCTGGAGCTGTGCCAAGAATAAAACTCTCCTAGTCAAATGCAAATGGTCAGAGTGTTATAGAAAAAGCCCTAAAGCACCATCCTCCTGCCAGGTCAAAGTTACAGCAATTGGAAAAAACAACAAGGAGTCCGGTGGCACCTTAAAGGCTAACAGATTTATTTGGGCATAAGCTTTCGAGGGATATAACCCACTTCATCAGATGCATGGAGTGAAAAATGCAGTAGGCAGGTGGCACCGGACTCCTTGTTGTTTTTGTGGATACAGACTAACACGGCTACCCCCTTCTTACCCACAAAAGCTTATGCTCCCAATCTTTCTGTTAGTCTTAAAGGTGCCACAGGACCCTCTGTTGCTTTTTCCCTGATACTGAAGAATTGGAATTAATTTGCAAACTTGACACCATCAAATTAGGCCTGAATAAAGACTGGGAGTGGCTGGATCACTATAAAAAGTACTGTAATTTCCCCTCTGTTGATATTCACCCCTTCTTGTCAACTGTTGGGAATGGGGCACATCCACCTGGATTGAATTGGCCTCGTTAGCATTGGACTCCTCACTTGGTAAGGCAACTCCCATCTTTTCATGTGCAGTATATTTATACCTGCCTACTGTATTTTTCACTCCGTGCATCTGACGAAGTGGGTTATAGCCCACGAAAGCTTATGCCCAAATAAATCTGTTAGTCTTTAAGGTGCCACCAGACTCCTTGTTGTTTTTGTGGATACAGACTAACACGGCTACCCCCTGATACTTGACAGCAATTAGAAAGGAAACCAAGAAACCAGAGGGGACTCACAAAGTGGGAAGGGGGAGCTCAGCTGCAGCCCCCAGGGCTGGAGGGGGTGAGGGAACACACAGAAATTCCACTGCAGGCCTTTCCGGCTCCAGTCTGGAGAAACACACATGGAACTGAAAACGACAGAGCAGGGAATGGGCTCTTTTCGCCACAGGAACCAGCAGCCTGTCTCCTCGAGAGCTAACAGACTATGACAGATTCTGGGGAAGAGCCTAATATGGCCTGGGATTTAGAACTGGGCCCCCACTGTCTTGTATCTAAGAGTAAGGTAAATGGGTTCCTCTCCTAGAATGACAGAGATGAGGGGTTCCTAACAGCTACCCAGAGAGTGGTAAATGACCCCAGATGCAGCACCACACAGCCAGGGCCAAACAGAGAGGCAGTCTCCACTGTCACTGAGTTTAATGGCCCACTGTGGGGAGGTAATGGACTCCTTCCTGAGTTGCTGAGGCTTCCAATACTGACCAGAGATCCGGACAATGAGAGGACTCAAGTGAAGACAGACCTGAATCCTGAATTATTTCACAAAACAAGTAAGCTTTGGGGGTCCTTAGCTTGAGCCGGGTGAAGTGAAAGTTATTTAATCTTTGAAATGTGCCCGATTTGTGAAGCTGGAAACATTTTATTAAATTCTCCATAGCAAACCAGACAAAAATATTTTCTCAGCATTTGCATTAAATGAGCAAACAACAAATCAAAATGCCAACATGCCACAAACTGTGAATTTGGGAAAAGTGGCAGGAAAAGGTGATAGCCTCTATTTAAGCACGTGGCTGGGAGTCGAGAAGTCCTCAGTTCAGCTCCCATTTCCTGTCCCGGCCTGGCCTTAATAGCATTATTTAACATGTGTATTGTGGTAGAACCTGGAGGCCCCAAGTCAGGGATCAGGGCCCCATTGTGCTAGGTGCTGGACATACACACAATGACAAGACAGCCCAGGCCTCAAAGGGCTTCCAATGCAAGTGTCTGACGAGAGACAACAGGCGATTACAATGAACAGATGGAAGTAATTAACAAAACTTCACACTTCTGGGCACCTAGAGAGGTCGTTAAATAATTTAAATATGCAGGATATCAACTGTACAAACAACATTTAGTAGTAAATATCATTACCCTCATTCTACAGATGGGCAAACAGACTCCAGCAGGTGAAGTGATTCTCCCAAGGTAACATAAAACCAGGATTAGAAGCTAGGTCCCTAAATGCCAAGGCAGGATTATCTATCTACAGTATTTACATGCCCCCTACAATTGCAGTACCTGAGCACCTCTCAGTCTTCAAAGTATTTGTCCTCACAACCTCCCTGTGAAGCACGATGGAGGACTGATGCCCAGGAAAACCTAAGTGACTTGTCCTGTGTCACACAGGAAGTCTGTGTCACAGCAGGGCACTGACCCAATGGGTCTGAGTGCCAGCTAGTGCTCTGACCATTGGACAACCCTTTCTATCAATTAAACTAACTCACCGAGAGGCAAACACCACAAGAGCGTTGCCACCAGAATCCAGCTCTTTCCATCTACGCAAGGAGGAAACCCACAAATTTCATTAGCGATCATTAGCCGAATGAATGCCCTGCCCAGCTCACAGCTATACTGACGGGATCTCATCTCTCCACTGACTCAGGCATGTTGTAAATGAGAAACAGACGCTGGCCAGTATGAGAGAGCCAGTAGCTTAAGTTGCTGCCTCGTAAACTCTTTTTTTAATGGCACTTTTCCCTGTATATTTTTTATTTTATTTCTAACAGGCCTTCCACGGATTAACAGCCAAGAGTGATTTTAAACTCCAGCAGAGGGGAAGACAGCCATCCTGGGGGGAAAAAATGACCGTTCCTCCGA